TAATAATAATAATAATAATAATAATAATAATAATAATAATAATAATAATAAGGATTTCCCAGTTGAATTGTAACTAAGTTTACAATGTAGGCGTGGATCCCCTGTTGCCATAGCAAGCAGAACAGTGGACAAAAGAAAAAGGAAAATAAGAAAACAGCTGTTGGTTTAAAGTAGTAGAACAGTCTTTGAGTTGCTGCTTGGTGATTACTTTAAAGAGTCTACATTACTCTTTTATGTATAAGGCAAAGCTAATGTAAACATGCTACTATAAAGGCCAGTGAGATCTCAACTTAGTTTGACTTGTAAATTAATCAGTGTTTCTTACTTCCAAGAAAGGCTACAATTGTAAGCATACTTATTTTGAAGTCAGCCCTATTGAAATAAGTGAGATACTTTTGAATAAACATGACTCTTGGGACTTACGAAGCATTCTTACAACCCAGCTTTTTAAATACATTACTTCAAAACAAGTCATAAATAGTAGATTTCAAAAGAAATTACTTCCAAGTAAATTTGCAGGTGGATACACTCTTAGGTAAATTGACCGTATGCAATTTTCATGCTCCAGTTATGGACTTGCAAATGAACTCTTTCAGAATCCAAAAGGGAGCAGATCTTTTTAGTACTGAAAAACTCAGGTGACTGGCCTTCATAGCTTAAAAAGCATTGTGCTTCGCCCCTATGGCTCTGAATTCAAGATCGCTTTATTCTGAATCAAATTCTCTTTTATTGGTCTTTGCACCTGATATACGGTTGATTTGGTTTTTTTCCAGTTGAATGCAATGTACATTGTAACGTGTTGTTGGACAAATGAGAATATACTGTTGACAAGTCTGATGGATGCAGCTGGTAGCTAGAAAAAGCAGAAGAGTTAAACTGATTGCATTTTTGCACTCAGATGCATTTTTTTCTGTTTATTGCTTTGGTCCTGCTGCTAAAAAAACAGGTTGGGTGTTTAGTAAATCTTTTTAATCAAAAAAAAAAAATCCCATAGACTTATGTATCATCATTGTCTATGAATACAAAGGGTGACTAAAGGAAAAAATACACTTTAAAAAACATTTTTAAGTAGTTAAGGTTGCTAACTTTTTACTCGCCAACTGTAACTGTAACACGGGATGTGGTGGCTCAGTGGCTAAGATGCCGAGCTTGTCAATCAGAGAGTTCAGCAGTTCGAATCCCTAGTTCTACGTAATGGAGTGAGCTCCTGTTACTTGTCCCAGGTTCTGCCAACCTAGCAGTTCGAAAACATATAAAAATGCAAATAGAAAAATAAGAATCACTTTTGATGGGAAAATAACAGTGCTCCATGCATCTTCGGCATTTAGTCATGCCGGCCACATAACCACAAAAATGTCTTCGGACAGCGCTGGCTTCTTGGCTTAGAAACGGAAATGAGTACTGCCCCCTAGAGTTGGGAACGACTAGCTCATTTGTGCGAGGTGAACCTTTACTGTAACTGTGCCTTTAATATTGGCAGGCACAATATTATGAGTTACTGAATTTCTACATAAAGCTGTCATTAAAAACACATGATGCTAAAACCACCAAAACAAAATATTAGCTTTTTGTTATTTCTGTTTGTCTGTGGTCAATTATCTGGGAGAATTTTATCCCAGATTTGAGGAAAAGTGATATTCAGGTAATAAGTTGTATGAAAAACATTCAACTTTGAAATACTTTTAATTTTATAGAGTGCAAAATTTGGGAATATAGCAATGGAATAGAGAGAAGCAACCTAGAACTAAGGAAAATTTTCATAACAATGAGGACAAATACCTAGTAGAATGGAAGTTTTGGGTGCTCCATCCCTGGAGGATTTTAAAAGACTGGACTAGAAGACTTCGAATATCCCTTCCAACTCTGTTATTAAATTTGAATCAGGACTGGTAATTAGGCACTTCCATAACAGTAATATACAGGGGATTATGAGACAGCACAGTTATGGTAAGAACATTTGTTCAGAAGGATCTGTTACAGCAATGCTTTCAATTCCCTGAACTCTTCTTGCTCTTCCAATTCTTCTAGAAGATCAGTATCATTTTAGCAGAAGGTCTCCGCATCAGACCTTTGTGTTAAAACATACATACTTCTTGGCCCTCTTGAGATTGTTTAGTTTGCCTGCAAGTTTGCAGATTTATTTGCAGCGTTGTATTTATTTTTCACCCTTATGTATTCCTGACCTTACTTCATCTTTCGATACTAAAATAATCATAATTCAGTACTGAGAGGACAGAGCCTAATGAATGCGCTTTCTGAATTGTATTAACAAAGTTATTGCTTTGTTTCCATTGTCTAACAACATTGAAGAGTTTTAAGGGAATTAAGCTTTGATAGTTTGATTTTGTTTCATAATACTTAACTAATTATACATTCACCATAGTGGCTATATGTAAGGCATTTCCATTTTCAATCCAGGAAGCAATTTGTTTTTTTATGTAAAAACTTTTAATTAAAAGATGGGGAAAAATGGCTTTCAGAGGATTTGTAACTAGATTTCACATTAGGAAATGAATCCTGATCAATCAATGCAAAGCTGTTATTCGTTTCAGCAAAGTCTCTCTTCCATTTAGTAATGCCTGTGCTAAAAATTTGGATTTTTGATGTGCCAGTAGAATAATCCCAGCAGAACTACATTATCAAAAACTCAACATCTCTACGCACAGCAAATTCAAAAGTTCTGTGGAATAGCCAATCTTAACTAATAAATCTCTTTTTAACTGTCCTGAATTGGTGAAGTAAAGATATAAATACCAAAATTAAATATCAAATTAAATATCAATTTATAAATATTAAAAATAATCTTACTTTCATCTGAGTAATTACACTGTTTAAGCCTTTCTTTTTCTACCCACATTCTCTTTGTGCTTGATATATATTATATTATTGTTAGCCCTAATCAAGCCACTGCAGGATGAAAGCCTTTCATTAAAGGTCATGGATTACACAGGTAGTACTTATGTTGTAAGTCGATTTACAACAGTTCATTTAGTGACCATTCAAAGTTACAACAGCATTGGAGAAGTGACACGACTTTTTCACACAACCATTGCAGCATTCCCATGGTCATGTGATCAAAATTCAGATACTTGGAAACTGATTCATATGTATGATGGTTGCAGTATGCCAAGGACTAGTGTATTCTACCAGGGCAATCTAGAGTAAATTGTTAGATTTTTTTTTTTTTGAGTTTGCAGTGTAGGTTGAAAGAGTGATGCCTGACCCAAAGTCACCTAGCCAACTTCTGTATCTAAGGAAGGTTTAAACCTGAGTCTTGCTATTCCTACTTTGTATTGTAATGACTACCTACACTGGCTCTAGTATACTGTGTATGTACTGTATGTATGAATGTATGTGAGTGATATGTAATTATTTGTGAAGTTCTTTATGTTTAATATCTGCTGTGAATGAATGTATGTATATTTAGTCTTTTAATCAGCACTTGAGTGAATTTGCTTAATCTGCAAGGCCATACAAGTGAATGCTTATTATTCTTTGAACTAGAAATATTTCAGGTTCTTTGTCCAGGATCTCCTATAATTGGACCAAAAAAAGAGATATTTTACTTCTAGTATAGAATTGTCGTATATTCTTTTATACTTTTCCCTATTACTTGTGATTTAGGGATAGGCTGATACATTTTAGTATAACAGTCCCTGCCAGCTTTTCCATTATAAGTGCTTTTTGCAGCTTTGTAAGTCAGCAGTAAAATGTACTTGTCCAATTTGAAGCTTGGCATGTAACATCTTCGTTTAGAAGCTAACTTTTTCCCCCAACTGAAAATGTTCAGGAAGTAAAGAGATTAGGGTGACCCTTTATTCTCTTTGTCTAAGTGGTATTATTTACAGGAAAAAATAGTTTCCTGGTTTTTCTGAGGTCATTGTTATTCTAGAATGAAAAGTAATCATTTTTCTTATGTGGGGGCTTTTGTCCCAACCCTTTCCTTAAGAACTTCCATTGTTTTTATATGCCAATATCTTTTTTCATATACGAAATTAAATACCATAACAGTCATTTAATCCTGTTAATAAAATAACACTTGATCTACTTGGTTGGTTGATTTATTGCCATTCAATTAATACTGGTAAGATCTAACCAAATCAGTTGATGGAATATAATTAAATACAGCCATGTTTTAAACAATAAAGATGAAAATATCCACACACAAAAAACCCCAAAGAGATGTAAAAATAAATGCTGTAGACATAGCATTGAAAAAGAAAATTAACTACACGACTCTTTAATATTGATATACACTTATGCTCGAAATATGCTTGGCATTTAAAAAAATCAGTATGCTAGAAATACTAACATGTAGCAAAATATTTATTTTATCTAGCAAAATAGCTATAGCTTAGACCAGTGTTTCTCAACCTTGGCGACTTAAGTCCTGTGGACTTCAACTCCCAGAATCTGGGAGTTGAAGTCCACAGGACTTAAAGTCGCCAAGATTGAGAAACACTGGCTTAGACTTATCAATCACTTCACAGTGCTTTGTAGCCCTCTATAAGCATTTTATAGAGTCAAATTGGGATGATTTACATATTACCCCAACAATCTGGCTTCTCATTTTATCAACGTTGGCAGAATGGAAGTCAACTTTCAGACTCGAACTCCTGGCAATCAGCAGAATTAGCCTGTAATGCTACCTTCTAATATTATTGCATCATCACTCAGGCTTCTATCAACTAAATGATATTATGCAGACTTTCCAATGGGGTTTTGAAAAAAGCAGATCATTAATAAACTACCATCTGATGTAGGAACACTGGGAATAAGGATTCTGATTATTATCTTGGAGTAAGAATTTGAAATACAGAATGTAAATTTTAGGATCAGATTAGTTCATAAGGCTAGCTGTGAAATCTACTGCTACCAGGTTCATGTAGGAGGAAGATTCAGAAAATTTTTTCTGTAAATGAAAAAAGCAACCTATCCTAAGGCCCCAAATAAAAAATAATCATGGAAAAGAAATTCTGCAATATGAGATGCACTGTAGGGGAATAAAATAACTGTCTAAGAAAAGAGACACTGTGGAATCTCCTAGGTATTTCCCTCCTTTTTTTGTCTTAAAAATAAATTTTAAAAAATAAGCATGTAAGAAGAGCTTATTTGCCAATGTAAATGGCAGAAGGCCAGATGGTGATTTCATGTAGTGATGTTTCAGAAAGCATAGTGATATAATGGTGTTGCTTTAGCCCAAACAATGCTTCTGAATTATATGATTGGAATAAAAAGAGCTAAGAAGCTATTAGTATTTCTTCTTTCAAGAGAACCATCCTTCGTATATCAAATTTATCATTAGACTCCTATATTTGCCAATGCCTTGGTTAGATGGTTATTGAATACTATATAAGATAGACCTTGACTATGTGACTACAATTGGGACCAGAATCTTGGTCATTGAGCAAAGTGAGATACCAGTCTTTATTTTCTTTGAGAACAAAAAACAGATTTCAACTCACAGAAGGCTTTCAATTCCTCTTTTTCCATTTCACTTGGAAACTTCCTTCCAACTTCCCAATTGACGTTTTTGGGAAGCTGGCATGGAAGACTGCAAATGACGATCATGTGATCACAGGGTTCTTGGCAACATGATGGAAACAAAATTCAGGCCAAACATCCATAATATAGACATGTTACTGGCATTTTATGACAGCTGGAACTGCTATATGGCTCGTAAAGCATCCTTTCCGAGACCATCATAATTTTGAATTATTATTAAACAACCAATCATAAGTCAAGGACTATATGTGTAACATTACCTATAATGTTTTTTTCACATTTTTTTTTTGCTTTGTGATTTGTGACCAAAATCTCTAAAAAGTACTTTTAATCAGAATGTATTGCTATGTATTTTTGTTCAATGTTAGCAACTGCATGAAATAAAATTGCAGCCTTATTTCCAAATGGATCAGTGGCAAGATTAACCAATAATTGAATTTATTAAGACACAAACATATAATTGTACAGATAGAGTATAATGAGAAGACAATCATTATAGTAATTCTGGGTCTCTATACATACATAGCTATTCCTGTTTGGAAATGTTTACTTAACTTTTGGGAATGGTTTTGGTTTGGAAATGGTTACTTAACTTTTAATGCAGCTCAGTGATGTATTCCACCAATATTGGAAGCAAAAGGAGGCCTGTAGTAATGTTTTTTTATTTTTCTACAGGGACCAAAGCAGAGTTTCAATGAATCTATAATAACAGAGCCCTGTGTGACTGGGGTAAGTTCTTGCATTTTATTGCCGCAATTGTTTCTGACACTATTATAACATTGAATAATATCAGAATATTTGTTTTAAGAATTTTCAAATTCGTTATTTTGAGGAGGAATTTCCTGTTCCAAGTTTGGGAATGCGATTCTATTCCTCATTTTTTGGTTTGATAGCTAGCGATTTCAGCAGTCTTTATGGTCTGATTTTTGAGGTACATCTGTTCAAGTCATTTGAAATAATTTCAATTATTTTTACGTGGAGATATATGTTTAGGAGGGGTGGGTGTATTCCTGCCAGAATAGCTATTCACCTTCAACCATGGTAATGATATTTTAATTCTTAAGCAGACTGTGATTTTGTAGGTCACATGGTAATTGCCCTTGATCTGTGCAATGTAATTAGCTCATAATCGGGAAGAACATGTAATCACATGGCTCTTTGTAAGACCTTTAAACATAGCAGATCAGATTTTATGGCTGACAGAATAGTGACCTGTGAATGTAGGATGAATGACAAGAACAGTAAAATATGCCAGTGAGGTGCTAATACAAAGTGACAATTGAAGGAGTTTTTTTCTTTCTTGCAGAATGCAATTGGGAAGGAAAGTGTGGCAGGAGGCTCCACCAGTCACATATCTTCTGATCATTCGTCTTCTCTTCGTGTAAGCGTCAGGTCAAGCACACTTCTTTTGCTGTTGGTGATTGCACTCCCATTCTGTTGGTGCCCACGTTCAGAAGAAACCTTGTATCTGCTTTAACAAAAGGACCCATAAAAAGAAAGGAAAGGAAAAGAAAAAGAAATTGATCTGTCTATCCTCTATCCTCTTCTGTTGTTGACCGAAAATTACAGTTCTAGGAATTCAGTTGAAATGCTCTGCTAAAAAATAGGACTGGATCAATGTTGTTGTCATTATCATCATATTATATCGTTACTATTATTTTATATTTTCAAGGAAAGGTTCTTAGAAGCTTTGCATACACTAGACACGACACCCACATTCCAAACGGAGTAGGGCTTTGAACAGGCAATGTTTGAAAAGAGACGAATAATTTGCATGTGTAAACCATTCAAGGTTTATTCTTTTCTCTCTTCCTCATCCCCCCCCACTTGTTTTAACCTGGACCAAGAAGAAATAAATCAGACTCTTAAAGTTCTAATTTTTTTGTATTTGTCACCCAGATATTTTTCCTTTGCCAAATCCATTAAAATGGATGGGATCTACTACACACCATCATATGGTGATTGTAGGTTTCAGTTATTTCAAGGTTACTCAGATAGAATCTGGGGACAAACCGTGGTTTCTAACAACTTGGAACCATTGCCAGAATGGTTAATAATGTAATGGTATGTTTATCCCTGATACATTGGGACCCAGTTTAGAAATGTTTGAAATTGTATGTATTGAAATCCTAGACCTTGGATGGACTGCATTACAAGATTTTTTTCATTGTTCCCTTTGTAGATAAGAGGCAATAGAGCAGGCAAAGAACACCCTGCATAAATTGCTTCTTGGCAGATTTGGGTCTTTTAAATTGAAAAACAGTAAGTTAAACATATTTTGAGGTGATTGTGGATCAGGCTTTTGACATGCTATAAACGTCTTCCTGAAAGGTTTTTTTTTTTTAATTTAACTTATTCATGTTTGGCTACCAGTATTTTGCTGTTTTAGCATTCTCTTCTATGTTTGTATATGTATGTAGTTTTGCAGTCTAAAATGAGAAGCCATTGTAAATCATAGCACTATAATACACATATTTTCTTCAAAACTTCTGCAGAAATATAAAATAATATTAAACTTTCTAATGCTATTTTTATTTTTGTGGTTATGCTAATTCAGCCTTAAGAAAGGTACTTAAAACTACATTAAGAAGAAGCAACTGTTGTGAATATTACAGTAGTGCAAAATTTGTTTATCTTTCTGAGGATATATTTTTTTAAAAAATAGAAACTTGCTTTTGTTAAAGAATTTCAACTTTAACATTGTTGACCTTTCTGTAATTATAAAATTTAATTATTTAACTGGTGAATGAGTAAAAAGTATTGAATTTTTATTATTTAAAAAAACCACCATATCTATTAATATTTACTTAGATAAATATAAGTATAATTTTTTGCTTTTAATTTCTTGACTCAATACAGAAATCCATAAGCACAGGCAGAAGGCTGTAACATGTTTCCATATTTTCAGAGATGCATCCAATAAAGATGTGAACACATAGCATTCAATAGATCATAATAGTTTCCTATATATGAAATTTTCTATCCACTTATTTTTGAACATGCAAATATATCAGCTTTGGTAAGCATTTAATCTTCTGGACAGGGGTACTTGCCCAAAAAATTACCTTGCACCGGAACCAGTACAACAATTGAATCCGATTGTTGCTAAACCAATTTTAAGAATTGATAAATGTTGTCTAAAATCCCAATAATACTGATCCAGATGTTCTCAACTTTCCATGTGGGCATTATACACATGCGTACACAAACATACATTCTCCATAACCAAGTATTATTTAATGTGAGAAAATTATTCCTGACTTGGTACATTTTTAAATGTACCATTTTTCAATTGAAATGTACATATTGTGACCATGGCAAGATATAACTTTATGTATGCCATGTTCATGTATGTATTGAAAAATGGGCTTTGTGTGGTTCTTTCTGACATTTGTTGAAGGCATTCCATATTATGTTAAATCATTTTCTCTTGTTTAACACAATTGAGATGTTATATTATGTCAATCTCTTATAATTTGAAACCAACAGACAGACAAGGATAGAATAGACATCCTTCCATTATCTTACACAATGAATGGCAGTAAAATCTGATGCTACAGATGCAAAAATACAGCCAGGATTATCAATGGTTTGCATCTAAATGATGTAATTTGAATTGTACAGTGCTGTGCAGTTGCAACCAAGTCTACAGTTATCTTTTTTCTTTTCAATTTAAATTGGTGAGGAATGGGAAGTACGATCAAAATCTTCAGTGTTTACTTTAAAGGGTTCTATTTGAAATAGCAGTTTTGATCCAATTATTTTGAGCTTCAGTCTTATCCCTGGTTGATCTGTCAAAGATAAAAGGGATTTTATTCGAATTCTAAAATAAAGTACTCAAACTTCGGGTATCAAATAGGAACAACTTGTTTTAATAAACTTTGATGGCTTGGCAGCTTCTGAGTGAAAAAGTAGTGGCTATTGAGCAGTAATGCTTAGCTCTTTATTTAATGAAGACTGGCAGAAGTCTATTTAAGAAAAAATCCATTATTAAAATTTAATTCCAAAGAATTATAGAATGTAAAGATTGGAAGGGATTTCTAAACCCAACTCCTATCTAATACAGGAAACACTACTGTACCATTATTACAGCCTGTCTTTAAATATCTTCAGCAAAACCTCTCAAAATAGTCTGTTCTATTCTTGAAGAGTACATACCATTGGGAAATGTTTCCTGATGTCCAACTAAAATCTAGTTCCTTGTACTTTAAGTCCATTGTTCTGATTTATGAAAAGTTGCGCCCTGCCCTGTTTTCTACTCAAAAAGCCTTAATATATATGAAGGCAGCTAACAATACTTTCTTTTACAAGTTAAATATTCCCATTGCATCCAAACTTTCTCATAAGGTTTTTTTTCTTCACTAAGATCTTGGTTGCTCTGCTTTGGATATGCATCAGTTTAATATCCTAAAATGTGGTGCCTGAAATAGGATGCTTATATAGTATTGACATTCCGGTTTTCTCCAGATGTGCAACCTATGGTTGCATTTGGTCCCCCCCCCCCTTTACATTTCTTTCCACTGTTAGCTCCTGGTCATTTTTTGATCTACAAAACTTCCATATCCTTTTTGCATGTAGTTCTATCCAGTACAGTTTCCCCACATCTTGTCCTTTTGATTTTTCGTACCCAAATGTACAACTTTTTATTGTTCCTGTTATTTCTGTACAATATTCTCATTTTTATAGATGCTCCTGAATTCTAATTCTATCTTTAAAAGATTTGATATCTTCCTATATATGTGCATAGTATATCAGTACTGTAATTGAATTTAACAATTCCTTGTTGTTGTATTTACAGTTTAATTTTATTGCATAGGCAATTTAAGATTATATAAAGGTGAGCATCCTATAACTAGGATTATTATTATTTTTCTTGTTATTAAGAAATTCCCCAGCTGTTCCAAGCCAACAAATTTTTTAAAAGACATGATTTTTCATTGTGAGATACAAATAAAGATTTTTTTTTTTAAATGAACAAGGTCTAAGTCAAAGTTTAAATTTGGCTATTATAATCTTTAACATTTTATATGACTTTGTATTATTTAAGTAGCACTAAATATAAAATGGTTTGTGTCTACTGTGAAAGAATTACATGAGTTCTAATCAAAACCAGAATTATTTTTTGCTTAAGTGTGCATCGAGAAACCCACCTTATCCATTAATTAACAATCTGCATATTATCTGTGTCATTTTTTTAAATTTAAGTTCAGATAATTTTAGACTAATATAGATTAGTAATTTTAACCCTTTTGGTCCCTACAATTCTTATTTTGGACAAAATCAAAACAGGTTTAGGTTAGTAATTAACATTGTCAAAGACATGAAATAAATGGTAACTTTTAAAAATTAATTTGTAGATTAGGTACGAAAGGCCCAATCCAGATCAGAACCCTCTATTATAATTAAGTGGTAATGTGGATCAGATCCTCTGCTTTGTATGTAGAAGAATAATTTTAAAAAGAGCTGCTTTTACTTAGAACAAAGAATTGGTTCATATGCTTCTCTTGGGGGGGAAAGGAAGGAAGGAAAGGAAGGAAGGAAGGAAGGAAGGAAGGAAGGAAGGAAAAGCAAAGAAAGATAAAGGAGAGGAGAATGAAAGAAAAAGAAAGGAAAGGAAGAAAGAAAGAAAGAAAGAAAGAAAGAAAGAAAGAAAGAAAGAAAGAAAGAAAGAAAGAAAGAAAGAAAGAGAAAGAAAGAGCACTTGGAAATAAAATTACAGTTCATATGTAGAAACATGTATTGAATGATATAAAAGTTCAGCTGTGATAATCATCATCCTAAATACAACCAATCCCAGCTTTCTTCTTTTAAAAAATGACTTCGTCTATTAGGGTCAACAAAGCTAAACAGAAAAATGGCAGATGAAGCTTTCATGCACTCTCCCTTGTGCATCCTGGACCTACTATCTCCATATTTTGGATCTTGGCCAGTATTTATATTGCTTGTTTTACTTGTGTGATTCTCTGTAATTCAAATTGAAGACTATTGATCTCATGTTTTAATTGGTATTCGATTTTAAAAGCATCATAAAATTCTTAAGTAGTTGTTTCACTAATAAATCCCTATGTATTAAAATCAAATATAGGAGTTGCTGAATGTCAGGCAGCATATAAATTTAATAAATTATTAGTTTTCAATAACAATGTCTGTACCATTAAACCCTGTAAGTTTATATTATTTCTATTTCATTCAGTACTGATGCTTAGCAGTTTTTTACTATATATACGCATTCTCAGACATACCAGTACATTCAGTGGGGCTTATTCTCATGTGCATGGAGATAGGATTGCATCTTAAATTGCTAGTAAAAACAAGTAAACATAAAAAAAGATTAGGTTTTAAACTATTATATTTTGATAAATGCAGAGCTTTTTAAAAAGAAAATAATATGGCAATGAGAATGTCACTTAGAGCATTGACTTCGTCAACAGAATCACTAGTTTGAAGTAAGTTGTTTTTCTGATATTTCTTTGCCTATTTCTGCCTACTCCAACTGCATATTAAATGCTAGGCAAGCCAAATATTTTTTCCTTGTGTTCTCATTGTGCAACATGAATTTCCAGATCTTAAGTTACTGTGAAGTTAGGATATATCAGAAACCTCCTCTTTCATTGCAAAATCCCATTTTGTGGAAGGGCAGCAGATTCCTCACTTCAAACATCTAAAGCTGTACATCTTAAAAGATCTTGGTTATTTTTTTCAGCCAGTTACAAAATAGAATATATCAAATTCATCCAAAGACTTGAAATATATTTCTTTACTTTAGAATGCTTCACATCTTAGCTATTTCCTATTATCTGTTCTGAATATATATTTTAGGGCAACAATTTTAAACAACTTGGTATGTAGATATTCAGGGATCTGGTTTTAAGGGGCAAGATCCTATTCAGAATATAGGTACTATGGAATGCCTTGAATCAAGCATGTATTTTCCAGAGATCGTTGGCAGGGAGCTCAGAAAAGGGTATGATTACTGTGGGTCTTTTCAGGGGCGGCTCTCTGTGCCTACCAATGCTGCATTTATGTTTTGCCCTTCAAAACTGGTTTTCTGCACAACCCTATTAGTTAGTTTCTGATAAGACTAGAGTCTAGCTTTCAGCAATCATTATCTTCCCTCTTGCATTATGCATTTCTCAGATCCCAAGCAACGTATCCCAGCCCTCCATTTTCTATAACATCACCTCAAATAAATTTGCTTGTGATGAACTTGGCAGAAAATTAATCCAGCTGACTGTGAAGGATTTTTCATCTTTAAATATTTGCTTTCACTTACTAGCTCGCTTCCTTCTATGACATTTCAATTAGTGGCCATTCAAATACTTTCTGACTTCAGAAGGTCATTTCGTTTTGTTCTTAACTGGATTTTGCCTCTACTGTATTTCCCCCCCTCCCTCTCATTTCCTACATATTTATTGGTTTTTATGCAACAGAAATTTAATCTTGCTGTAACCTATTAAAATATTATTAAAGTTTCTCTGATCAAGGCTGTTGCTTTGTTTGCCTGGAAAAAAAGTTATTTACTATTTTCCTTTATCCCAGGTTGATCATCTGAAAATCAAAGTCTAGGTTTATAATGAGAAATATTTTTTGCAATACTTCAAGTAGGCTTTTATTGGAATCCTGATTATAATATAATGATTAGATCACCCCAGTCTGTTTCAGAAAATGATTGTTCAATGGAAAAAGGAAATCTATGGAAGCACTTTTTCCCCCCATCATTCAGAATTTGTAGGTCTTTTGTATCTTTTCTTTTGTATTGCCAGAACAATTGGCATTTGGATCTTTGCCTGATGTAACTTAAGGTTTTACCCTTTTAAAAAATTGATTCAAATAGGAGGGGAGAAGTAGTTATTTTGAAATTTTACAAATCTCCTGTTCTTTCCTCCCAAAAGGTTTTTGTGACTATAGCAGCTGAAGCCTCTCTCTTTCCTCTGCGGGACGCCAATAGAGAAGGTGTATTTTTTGTCATGCAACCATTTAGAATTATATATTGCCTCAAAATAGCAGTCAAATTTCAATGAGTACAAATGGGATTTTTTTCCCTTATCCAGCTTGGGCTTATTTTAATGGTTTTAAGTAACTGCATTACCCTTTTGTTACTACTTCCTAATCTGTCAAACAGGGAATTTTCTATCGCCTGATGAAAAATTGGGTCATGTATTTATGTATGATTGGTTTTCTTAAAACTCTTCCCACACTGAAGGACAGCCTAATTTCCTTTCTTGATGATGATGGATCTATGTTAAACTTCCACTGAAAATCTTTAATCAAGGTGCATCCTGAAAAAGTGGTTTTATGATGCAGGATATCCAAAGCTTGTGGGCATTTCTGTCTTTAGGCTGACTTATAAACAGATCTGTCTGCAATTACTATTGTCTGTCCAATTCACCTATGTTAACAATAATTGTGGTTCTGCCTGTAATGATCAGTTTCAGGATTTTTCTTTCACAAAGTACAGGACCATGAGGAAACAAATATTGGTTTACAGAGACTGTGATAATGCTGCCGCTCCAATTTCCATCCAGTAGCAGTAAATCAAATGTTGGAGGCAATGATCTGTTTAAAAAACATTGTGCGATCATGGAATATATGGCAAGGGAGACTATATATCGAACAGATGATTGAAACTGAATGAGTGTATCTCTGCAAAGCTAGATCACGAGAAACATTAATTCTGAGTCCTGTAATTGGGGACAACATTCATTGAGACTCTCCAAAGTTTAGCTAAATATAGTTAGAAGGTGGGACATTCTCCTCCATTTTAAATTAGAATTTGAATCTAATCTATTATTAGATTCTCCTTATTGATGAAATACAAGTAATCCTCAGATAATAGAAACAGGCTTATAATTTGATTTTTCTGAATTTTGGTTTGTGGAACATTGACCCATGCAAGTATGTCACTGTCCTTTTCTGCATGCTCAAATAATGGCAGCAACCATTTTTCATTTACGTAAGCCACATGTTATGTAACATAAGAACCGCTTATATTGAAATTCCATATCTGAAAAGGATTAAACCACAATAGAAGCATGTTTTCATTCTTCCTTGTCTGTCCATGTATATAAGTTTCCCACTGCACCCAGTGGATTAAATGGGCACTTGATCTAACATAGCAGGCACTTACATTCTATGCTTCTATTCTAAGATGATTCTCTTGGACTTTTTTTTCCGTTTAACAATTCCAATATCCAAACAATTCATACATTTCAAACACAGTGACTAATCAAAAAGAAAAAGCAACAGATCTAAAAGATTTCTGCACTAAATGTAGATGCACGAAAGGGTGAGTAGTAGGGGAAAATTGTATCTAGTGTACAGATAGTAAGTTCTTTCAGCTTTGACTAATTTCCTATGTGTGTTGTGGAAATCAGATGGTTCTGACTCTAATGATGTTTTCAGACAAAAGCTTGTAGTGCTGTCAAATAGTCTCATCCAACTATTCCAATTTTCCTACTGTGATAAAC